TGGAGAACTTTTTCAATGGAAAAACTGAATGAGTTTTTTGTGTGGGCCAGCTTAGGCTTGGTTACAAATACTTCTGGCAGTTTGGGAGACACACAGATGATGATCAAACAAAAGTAAATTTTGTGACAGGGATAGGTACTCTCTTGATCACTATGTGCTTAATTGTCCACTTATTGAGGAAAAACGAGACAGACATATAAAACCTATTGACCCTGTCAAATATCTTATTAAAGAAAATAAAATACCGGTATAATAAGCAAATTTCCTAAATTTGCTTGTAACAGATAAGTGAACTATAGATATGTAGATATAAATCCATTGTATTCCTGTTAACCCTTGGGGGCCTGTTCCAGGCCTTTTGTGACCACATCCTGCGCTACCGTCCCAGGATGGGTATGGGTGCACAAAAAACTAGCCACTTCGGGGCAAAATCTAAAAATCTCTACACATTGCTGCTATGTATGATAATCTATGTAACTGTATTTGTGCATACCTGAATAAACTTACTTAGTTTTATGGTGCATTACGAGTGTACATCACAACACTGTATTACACTACGTTTTCTCTAATATAAGTACATTATTATTATTATTATAATCAAGGGGGAAGCGCTAAACCCGGAGGATTATACAGCGCCTGGGGGGGGGGGAATGTGGAAGGCATTCAGGCTTAATTCGGGGAACTGGAGCACAGATCTAATTCCCTAAATCAAGAGCCCCTCACCAACATCAAGGAACATTCCTTGAGGGGTAATATAAGTACAGCACCCAGGAGGGGACAAGAGAATGGTACTATATCCTTTATCCTTGAATTCACAGCGAATGAACACACGTCTGTCAGAGACCAACTACAAGGCGAGGGTCTTTGTTAGGTGTACTCAAATAACAGGAAGTAGGGAAAATTGGCGCATGGAAAAAAAAAATGGTGCGGAATGTTAAAATTGGTGCGGCTGTTTTTGTTCGGCACCTGATTATGTGTCATGACCAGTTGCAAAAATTTGACGAATTTTTTGGTCATGAACCGATTTATTCATGTTCACACACACACACGAACTAACAAATCTCTGCACCAAATTCACCTTAAACCAGCAAATAGTAGAGCCTACAAAACTAGAAAATACGCAGGACCTCAACTTCACTAACAATGATGATCTGATACGTAATATAACTGTATCAATGACAATACACTCAGATCACAACATAATAGAGGTACAGACATGTATGCAAAGGGCTTCTGATCAGAAAAATTTCAATAACAAAAACGTACAATGGGATCAAGTAAACCGTGTCCTAAATGAAACAAGCTGGGAAGATATCCTAAACAACATGGATCCAAACATTTGCCTTGAAAAAAATGAATTCTGTGGTTCTTGAGATCTGCTCAGCACACATTCCATTAAGAAAAAGAAAGAGAAGATGTACACTAGAAAGAGATGCTCCCTATACAGACGAAGGCAAAGAGTCACAGAGCTGCTGAGTGGGACCAATATATCGGAAATGCGAAAGGAGGCACTAGTCAATGAAATTGCAAATATCGAACCTTCTTCTCTTATGCAAAATCTAAGGGAAAAACAACATCCAGTATTGGGCCTCTGCTTAGGCGGGATGGGACATACACAGATGACAGCCAAGAAATGAGTGAGATACTTAAGTCCCAGTATGACTCAGTGTTCAGCGAGCCACTGCTCAGACTAAGGGTTGACAACCCAAATGAATTCTTTATGAACGAAACCCAAAATTTGGACATCCCAAAAATCTTGGATATTATCCTAACTCCACAAGACTTTGAAGAGGCAATAAATGATATGCCCATGCACTCTGCCCCAGGCCCAGACTCATGGAACTCCGTGTTCATCAAGAACTGCAAGAAGCCCCTATCACGTGCCTTCAGCATTTTATGGAGAGGAAGCATGGACACAGGGGTCATCCCACACACACTAAAAACAACAGACATAGCCCCACTCCACAAAGGTGGCAGTAAAGCAATTGCAAAGAACTACAGACCGATAGCACTAACATCCCATATCATAAAAATCTTTGAGAGGGTTCTAAGAAGCAAGATCGCCAACCACCTAGATACCCATCAGTTACACAACCCAGGGCAACACGGGTTCAGAGCAGGTCGCTCCTGTCTGTCCCAGCTACTGGACCACTATGACAAGATCCTGGATGCTGTAGAGGATAAACAAAATACAGGTGTAGTATACACAGAATTTTCAAAAGCTTTCGACAAGTGTGACCAAGGATAAAGGAATAACAGGAAAAGTTGGTAGATGGATCTATAACTTCCTGACAAATAGAACACAAAGAATAATAGTAAACAGAGTAAAGTCTCAAGCAGCCACGATAAAAAGCTCTGTTCCACTCGCTCCCATTCTATTCCTCATCCTCATTTCTGACACAGACAGAGATGTAAGTCATAGCTCTGTGTCTTCCTTTGCAGATGACACCCGGATTACCATGGCAGTGACCTCCATCGAAGACACCACAAGACTCCAAGCGGACATCAACCAAATCTTCGAATGGGCCACTCAAAAATTATGAAGTTCAACGAAGAGAAATTTCAACTACTCAGATATGGGAAACTTGAGGAAATTAAAAATGTGTCAGGGAATACAACAAATTCTAACTATACAATAGAGCAGAAAAGTAATGTGAAGGACCTGGGAATGATAATGTCAGAGGACCTCGCCTTCCAAGACCACAACAATGTATCTACCTCATCTGCTAGGAAAATGGTAGGATGGATAATGAGAACCTTCAAAACTAGGGACACCATGCCCATGATGATTCTCTTCAAATCGCTTGTGCTCTCTAGGCTGGAATACTGCTGTACACTAACGGCTCCCTTCAAGGCTGGCGACATTGCAGGCCTGGAAAGTGTACAAAGAACTTTCACAGCACATATAAGCATGATAAGGCACCTAAATTACTGGGAACGGTTGAAGGTCCTTGATCTGTATTCCCTGGAACGCAGGAGAGAGAGATACATGATAATATACACTTGGAAGGTCCTGGAGGGATTGGTACCAAACTTGCACATGAAAATCACTCCATATGAAAGCAAAAAACTCGGCAGAAGTTGCAACATTCCCCCAATGAAAAGCAGGGGCGCCACGAGTACACTGAAAGACAACACAATAAGTGTCTGGGATCCAAGACTGTTCAGCTGCCTCCCAGCCTACATAAGGGGGATTACCAATAGACCCCTGGCTGTCTTTAAGAAGGCACTGGACAGGTACCTAAAGTCAGTACCTGACCAACCGGGCTGTGGTTCGTACATCAGCTTGTGTGCAGCCAGTAGTAACAGCCTGGCTGATCAGACCCTGATCCACTGTGAGGCCTGATCTCAGACCAAGCCGAGGGGCGTTGACCCCTGAAACCCTCTCCAGGTAAACTCCAGATAAAGCATTCATAACCAGAGGTTCCACTGTACAATAAAACACCGGAATTACTGGGAACGGTTGAAGTTCCTTGACTTGTATTCCATGGAACCCAGGCGGAAGAGATACGTATATGATTATATCCACTTGGAAAATCCTAGAGATTGGTACCAAATCTGCACATGAAAATCACTCCCTCTGAAAGCAAAAGACTCGGCAAGCATTGCAACATCCCCCTAATGAAAAGCAGGGGCACCACTAGCACAATAAGAGACAACACAATAAGTGTCAGGGGCCCAAGACTGTTCAACTGCCTCCCAGCATACATAAGAGGGTATTACCAATAGACTCCTGGCTGTCTTCAAGAAGGCTCTGGACAGACACCTAAAGTCAGTATCTGATCAGCCAGGTTGTGGTACATACTCGGTTTATGTGTGGTCAACAGTAATAACCTGGTTGATCAGGCCCTGATCCACCATGAGCTCTGGTCACTGACTGGGCTACAGAGGCGTTGACCCCTGAAGCCCTCTCCAGGTATAGAGAGTTGGATCGAGAAATTGTCCAGGGAGGCGAGGGTCCTCCATGCCTGCACTCACCTATATGTGGTTGCAGAGGTTGATTCACAGTTCTTAGCCCAGAGGAAAGGGTGACAGCAGGCTGTATGTGATGGATACATCAGAAGTGTGTGGCTAACTTATTCGGTAAGATAGTTTCATTGTGGGAACAAAAGCTGTCTCTTGATCGCTAGTGCACTTGGCTCACACACCGAAGTCTGGGGATTGATTCCCAGTGCAGCTGGAAAACATTAGGACGTGCTTCCTTAAGACACCTGCTGTCCCTTTTCACCCATCAGTAAAATAAGTGCCTGGGTGTTATTCGATTGGTGTGGGTTGCATCCTGGGGACAAAATTATCTAATTTGCCCTAAATGCACTGCATAACAAGGGGTTTCGGCCATCACTAATCTGGCAATCAGTTATCCGATTCCATCAGTAATCCAGCATTAATTTCGGCTAGCATAATTTCAAATTTTATCATTATACTGACTCAAATCATTATATTTACTCAAATTACATCATTATACTGACTCAGAAATTGTGCAGATGGTTGTAAATCCACAGCAGCAAGCCAGTTGAGGAGAAAGCAGTGATGAAAATGAGGAAGATGTAGCAGAGTCTATATTGATAGGTTAAGTGTATTCTAACCTAACCACTCTGTAATCCGGCAAACTCACTAATCTTGCACACTAAAGGTCCCAGTGATGCTGGATTAGTGATGGCCGACCTATAGTAGTATGTCACTGATGTCAGCTAGGATTGCATACATTGTACAACAGTACATGTAGAAATAAAGATACAGTATTATCATTATTTATTATTATTATTATCCATAGACAACATTAATTAACAGCACAATTGATGCAAAGGTAACATGCTTTCCATACCACAATGAAAACAGGAAAAAACACCTAAGCTCTCCTATGTGCTTACACACACATCTTCATAGGAATTGGAGAATATATGTGCATCTATGTAAGCACATAAAAGTGCTCAGATATTTTTCATGTTTTCACTGGTATTTTTATATACTGTACGTAAGATTAAAAATAAAAGTCAGTCTCTGTATATACACACACACTTTATTTAAAAGTCAAAAAGGCATACAATACAAAATTACATATGTGCAATAAGCTTCTAATGTTACTCATACACTTCTGTTGCTTTGGCATATATCATCTCTGAAGAACGTTACACTTTACAGAAACAAGTATTTAACCTTTCAATGGTAATTACAGTAATAAGACTTAATAATGCCTGTAAAATAAACCATTTTAATACTGATCTGTATATCAATAAATTAAATAAAAAATATTAAATGAACTCTTAAAAATGTTGATTAGTACTTTTCTTAACAATGTCATTTCAATTTTTGCTACAGAGAACTTTTGTTTAATTTTTTTTAAGTACTTAACAATTTTAGTTTAACATTTAATGATAATGTCATTGTCTACTAAAAAAATATTTTAAACTGAAGATAAGCTAACCCAATTACATAACTAAAAAAGTTATACTTTATATAAAAGTACAGTATAAATTTTAATGAGTTCACATTTATCTTTCATTTAAATGATAAAAATATACCTGCATTCACTATTTATGGCATAAATATATGGTATATGGCATATATCCAGCAGAACTATGCTTAGAAAATTATACTCTACCTAAAAATAGAAATCATTTACATCATGAACAAAAATATTTGTAAAATTACTAAATTCATTACCATCAACGTTTGACTGCCGGACAATGACCAAAGACAGCTATGGTACTAAATTTTAGGAATAGATTTAGCTGGAGATATAATGGCTTACCTATATTTATGACATGTAGAGTACTGAGAATATTTGACACTTGCCATATTTGCCTGATTTAACTGACAATAAATCATGGGGAAGATCAAACAAACAGCATTACAACAAAATGATTTTTTCAACTACATTTGTGCCAAAATATATATTTTATCCCTGATAGATTGTCAAACTGCATACGTATGAAGCAACTAACTTCAAAATCATATGACATTTTGGAAACTGGAATCCTCTCATTTATCTCTCTCTCTCATTACACACAGTCTTCTGAGTAGGTTTGCACAGCAAATTATTAGTACAGAAATAATGGCTGCCAACTAAAATTATCACTGAAAATAATAAATCAACATAATATTAAATATATTTACTTGTAATTAAGTGTACAAAGTACCTATATGCAGTATAAGTATAATTAAACCTTCGAGGGTCCAAGGAGGCACCTTAATGCTGAGGAAGAACTCTTGAGCACAGGTACTAGAACTAATCTCCCTTCCTCAGATCAAACCTGATTACCTTCTATTTTCCAGGTGCTGCATGACCCCTATCAGTTTAGCATTACCCCATCAATATAATATTAACCATTATCAAGAAACGAAACAGTTAACCAGTTAACACTGGCAGGTAATAACACACAGGATCATTACATGAAAAATCTAACAGTACAAGTTTCCTCTCTCTTTACATGAGTTTAATTTATGCAAAGTTACTATTATGCGATATCTCGTTTCTATTTGTAATTCCCTATGTGCGATATACATGCGCACTGAAAATTCTCACTATGCAGAAGTCGGTGTTGATGGCCTGGGTGAGCCTAGTACAGCTGCCATGGTATTAGAATGCATCTACTGCATAAAGCACAAGATACTTGTACTGTACATAGTTAAAAGTTTGAAGGACAGCAAACACAGGAGCCAGATAATGCCATGATACTTGATATGAAAGACAAGCTTAAGGCTGTTATCTTCAGAGATGGACTCTGAACTCTGAGGAGGCAGTGGGCCACTCTTCACCAAGCAAGCTGCTCTTGACACTTATTATACTACAGCATTTGGGGTAATGCTTCTCTAAGAAGCTTGAATAAAGTAAGAGAAACATTATGCAATGCGATGCATTCTGGTGAGTACAGTATTTATACCTAAGGAAGCATCAAAAGTAATGTGAGGTGGATCACTTAAGATAGTTTTCTCCCAGCATGTGAGGAAAGTTTGATAGACCCTGACACACTAACTAAAACAACCAGGGGCTTTATATAACAAAATCTATGCAAACCAGAATACAGTTGGCTTAACCTTAACACTATGTTTTGTAGCACTGCTCATCAATAACACAAACAAATGCCCCAAAATACAACATAACACATCTCAAATTATACGAGTATAAAATCAATTTGGAAATTTGCCTAAGGTACATACTAGATTAAATCATACATTTGCAACACCTACACAATTACAACTGCACAATACTTGGATATAATATTTTTTAAAGAGGAGTTGCAAGGTATTATAATAATAATGACTACTATATGTAACAGCAATTTTGAAAGTGTTACCGCACACTAGTCATTGTCACAAATACCGCTGCACACTACAGCTCCTCTCACACATACTGAAGAGTACTTTGTGTATATACCATCAGGTTCTACACACTTAAGATATGTATAAAACTTTTACTTATAAAATACACTTACAATTATTTTCGTAGATGGCAAAATTACTCATTGTATAAATTACGACATAATCAAGCTTTTTCACATACAGCCGTAAGGAATAACTGTAGTAGGCCTGTCACTTTCTGAGGCAAAAATACAGAATACATTATCCTCAAAATCCTATTATTTTTATCACTTCAGTAAAATAAATTTTAGGTAAGCACTTCCCACAAGCAATATAAAATATATATATTCTACCATTTTTTATATCATGATCATTTTCATCATTGTTATTGCTTCTTGCTCATAATTCTAAACCACCTTATCTTACTATATCTTGCCATATTCCCATAGCTCGATCGCTAGCGCACTCAGCTCACACACTGAGATCTGAAGTTCGAATCTCCTCTGGTACGACTGGAAAACATTAGGGACGTGTTTTCATAAGACACCTGCTGTCCCTGTTCACCCATCAGTTTAAAATGGGTACCTGGGTGTTAGTCAACTGGTGTGAGTTGCATCCTAGGATGAAAATGACCTAATTTGCCTGAAATGATCAGCATAACAAGGGGTTTTCTATATAGTAGTCTGTCATTGAAGTCAGCTAGATCTGTATATCTTGAACATGTACTTGTAGTAAGTAAAGATATTATTATTATTATTTACTGTTACTGTACCAGAGACACCCTTCAAGGGGGTGTCTTAATGCTGATGAATGGATCTTGATCCAAAGAACTGAATCTACCTTCCTTGGATCAACCTTGATTACCTCCCATTCCCAAGGTGCTGTAAAATATTAATAATATGAATATTCAGTATGGTACGGCACCTTTATCTCCTTACAAAGTTACAATCAAACACTTTCATCACTTAGGATGACAGTTAATGAAGTGACTTTTGTATGCTTTTTATAATCACTTAAACGGGGAACAGCAGAGACATTCAGTATGTACTACTATTATTATAACACCAATGCACATAAACAGAGTATGTGAAAAGATGTACAAATGAAATGGCTGTCTGGATGGAGTCCAAGAACTTATTGAACAACAAAGTTTTCAGTGCACAGACCCTGATACAGCAGGGATATAATAATGAAACCTTATACGTATAAAACTATCTTCTGTTTAGGCAGCTTTAATAGGACAGGTCCAAGAGTGTGGACTTCGTTAGTAGATAAGATTTAAACTACATACAGCAGGTGATAAGGCACAGCCACAGACAGGAACTGTGAAATAGTTTGCCAGTCACTGACTGGAGGTGCCTGTTCACTAGTGAAATGTCTTGGTAAAGTTCCTTTCAGCAACTGTTCTTGTCCTTTTCACCACCTGTCAGTTTTCCTCCATTTGTCTCTACCACATGTTGTCCTACTAGCCTCTTGATGTTAAATTAACTCCCACATAAATTGACGACTACAGAATGCTAATTTTTAATCAGTAAACTGCTCAGTATGTGATGCATATATAATTGTTTTCAATAAACAAAATATAATAAATGTTAAGTGAATATTTACTTCATTTGCATATCATCCGAGCTTCTATTAGATAATTAGATCCTATGAATTTGCCAAGTGATTAACAAATTATTTTGTACAAAATTAATACACACACAATATTTATTGTAAAGACATGGAGAAAGACAATACCAGGAAGTACTACAAATGATTGGCATTAACATAGAAGGAATATAACTGATAAATGGTAAAATATATATACACTAATGCAAGATGAGCCGGGTTGGTTTGATCCCCGGTACAGGTGGAAACATTAGGGTGTGTTTCCTTAAACCTTTCAGGGTTTCGGCTGTACTAGTATGGTTTATGCCCCAGGGTTTTTGACGTACTAGTACGCCTAAATTCTAGCGCCCTCAAATTTAGTGAGAGAAAGCTGGTAGGCCTACATATGAAAGAATGGGTCTATGTGGTCAGTGTGCACAGTATAAAAAAATCCTGCAGCACACAGTGCGTAATGAGAAAAAAAAAAATTGACCGTGTTTTTGGATTAAAACAGCAACTTTGCACTGTATTTTCCTATGGCATTTATTGTTGCATTCTAGTTTTCCTGGTCTCATTTTATAGAATGGAAGACATATTACAGAAAATGAGATGATTTTGACTGGTTTTACAATGAAAAGTACCTTGAAATTGAGCTCAAAGTAGTAGAAATGTTCGATTTTTACCAAAGTTCAAAAGTAAACAAATCATGCCAAGCGTCCAATACACGTCAACTGGTGAGTCTATATTCTTTCACAAGTGCGTTGATATTATTTATACCATTTCTACACTAATGCAGTAGTCTGCATAACAGTAAATCTTCTATTTTTTGTAAGAATAAAAATTCAAAGTGGAAAGCCAAAGAAATATAAGAGGGGCCTGGGGATGTGACTAACAAACAGAGAACTTGTTATTTTAGTGCCAGGAATGTCTTTCTTGTTTATTCTGGACCCTATTCAGAAATTGGCATCTTTTGAAATTTGTGTGAAATTGGCAAAATTGCTAAATTCTGACCACTTTATTGGAAAGTTGAAATCGGTAAATGGTTGGTTTCTTGTACTCAGTCAATAGAAAAAATGGAGTTCTAGCGAAATACGTAGTTATGATTTTTGTCGACTAGTACACTGGAATTGGCCAAAAATAGGGCTCAAATTGGGCAAAATCACCGATGTGTAAACATCGTCAAGACCGCTAATTTGCAAGAGCATAATTCCGTAAGTTTTTCATCAATTTTCATACTTTTGGTGTCATTATGATCGGGAAAAGATTCTCTATCTTTTCACAAGAAATTTTTTTTTTTTTTAATTTGGGGACCCTGAGAACAAGTCTTGGAGAGGGCCTGGGGACCCTGAAAGGGTTAAGACACCTGCTGTCCCTGTTTGCCTAGCAGTAGATAGGTACCTGGGGTGTTAGCTAACTGGTGTGGGTCACATTCTGGGGACAAAATTGACCTAATTTGCCCAAAATGCTCTACATAACTAGGGCCTTTCCACATAGTATGTCACTGATGTCATCTAGGTCTGTATACATTGTACATGTACTTGCAGAAATAGATTATTATTATTAATTATTATTATTATTATTATTATGGGCTAGCCAGTACCTAAAAGAATGATGTTAGCTTATTAGTGAATGCTGATACTGTGCAAATTACTGTACTTTACGTACATATGTTACCAGCTTTGTAGGTTCTACCCTTGCGCCCTGCCCTGAGACTAGGCTTCCTTGTTGACTGCCTAGTCAATCAGATTGTTGCTGCTAGTGATCTGCATGCCCACACAGTCATCACAGCCTGACTGGTCAAGCACTTGCAGCAGAGAAAGCTTTTTGTCCATAGTTCTGGCAAGTTTTGGATCACCAATGTCAGCACAGTGTTTTCAAATTATGCGTATGGTGCACCTGCTTTCCCCTGGATATATTCCTTTGTTACATATCTCTCCCTCCAGTAAGTATTATGGCAGTGTACAGATTATAACAATAATGGTAAATGAATACATGTACGTGTACTGACAAATTGTATGACAGACACAATGTTAATAATGGCAATGTAGTTAATGTTAAAGTTTGCCAAAGTATATTTTGCCTTTGTATCGTAAAATGTGCAGACTGGGGACCTAACCTTCAAGTATCTTTCACGTCCAATGTACATTCCGAGTGTGTAAATCCCAAGAATTCATAGACCTGACAATGAGTGCAAGTAAAAATATCAGACTGCATTAACTAACTCAACAGGTAAAATTTAAGACACACACACTGCATTATTAAAGTAAATAGAACTGGTCCTCTGACTGGTTCACTGTCTTGATACTGAACCATATTAAAATAGTTAATCAACTAAAGTGTCCTATATATGTGTATTTACACTTCATATTGGTAAATATTTTAGTTTATGCCCTTGAGAGTGATGAAAGTACTATTACTAAACATCAGCCAAACTGACATTTAATCCCACAAGACAGACCTCGGTAATGTTAAATACATTCTCAACTCTCACATAAACGTCATAATTACTGCCACTTAATTTTTCTACCTAGCTTCTTAGAAAGGTATATTCTGGCCTTTTCAGTTTTTGAGGTAAATGAGTAAGTGAGAAAATGTCATGACCACTTACAGCAGTACTGTATAATAAAAGTAAAACAAGAAAGTATGAGAAATAATATTTTCTAAGTGAACTGCAGTCTTTACAATGATCTTTCAGTATACAGTAAATACTGTATATTCCAACAATATACAGTCATGCCAGCTAACTACTGATATATCTGCCGAGCCTCCCATATGCCAATGCTCACTCTGATCTAATAATCACTATGACGACAGAGTGCATAACTGTTAAAAGTATTCATCTGAGTAATTATTCCAGAGAATAAGATCTATTCTTGCCAGGTTCACTGATGTAACTTGATAATGGAATAATGGCAACTGCCCATACTTGACCAGCCAAGTTAACTTTATCAGCACCTACTCTACTTAAAAAGACTACTGTAGATTTTGGAACCAGCACCTGTGAAACTGAAAATTAATTAACTGCTTAAAGGAAAAGTCCAATTTTACTGAAAATTTCAGTGCACAGTATACTGTGGAAATTTTATAATTTCCACATTAGCTCGGTGGTTTCCTACTCCTGCTCGACCCTTAAGTCACGTCACTTGATTTTCTATAAGAGCCTCATCTCCTGTGTATTTTTTTGTTAGTTTGCCAAAGAGGGCCTGACTATTAGGCAGAAATTTGAAGTGTCTGTCACCTTTTACTGTTTTGTTGTCTCCATATGGGTTTGTCTGTGTCACCAAACAATGTTAATTACACTTTTTAACTGGCATTATTAAATTTTGAGGTTGATCCATAACAAGTTTCATTTTGATGTGGAAGTTATGTTCTTAAGAAATATTTAATTATAATATTTCTCCAAATAAGAAATCATAAGGTTTCCTTTCCTGACAAAAAAAAAACTCTTGAAAATAATGCTAAAAATTAAATACTCTATTTAATAATTGTGGAGATATAAACGTTCTCCATGGGGAAGTGGAACAGAATTCTTCTTCCGTAAGCCATGCACGTCATAAGAGGTGACTAATATGCCAAGAGCACAGGGCTAGAAACCCCTTCTCCTTTAAAAATTATTAAATTTAAAAACAGAAACTTGTTTTTCTTGTTTAGGTCACCCTGCCTCAGTGGGATATAGCCGGTTTGTTGAAATAAAAGTACACTGACTTATGGCCCATTTGAGTTACTTAAGTATTCTAAATAAAATTAATTGTCCTGAAAGTATAGCATCAGTTTAATACACATACTATACATAAATGTAACCCATAACTTAAGTAAAAAAATTTTATTGAAAAATTTTATTTTCAATTTTAACGCAGAAAACTATGTACTGCATAATACTAATGCAATTTGTATTAGAAAAATATAAGGATTAACTATACTGATGTTATGTACACTGAATAATACACACATTTTATATACATCGACATATTTTGGGGGGAATCTGAGTATGGTACAACTGGAAGCTAAGGTATAATGCAGAGAGCAGGTTTATTTGGTCACTTTTTTCAATACAAGGATATATGCTTTAGTTTGCACTTTTAAGTTATAACAGCGCACATAATTATAATAGGGCACACAATACAACTGAAACTTTTTCTTTCATATTCAAACTGTGCAACAACCAGATGTCTTTGTCAACTTGGTGTCCAATGCATACTTAATTCTATAATACAATACAACACTATATAAATTCCTTATTTTATCTAGAGTAGCTTTACTTCATATAATCTATTACATTAATCTCTGTCAGCAGTGTTATCTACATAGAAAAATCACAGGAAAAAAAAACAGAAAAAAACATGACCTGATCATAAACATAATGTTGTTGCAGTTTTAACTTTCATCTAAACATTATAAATTAGTCATATATTCCCTGTTTTGTGAAGTATATATCTTTTATAAGCCAAACATTATATCAATTAGCTGGATGATGTAACTTAGCATCCATATCTTATATTTCTAAAACAATAATATAGAATATTTGAATGTCTGCATAGTTGCTCTGGGTAGCACCAGCAGGCATTGTTTATATGAGAACATTTAACATACATGTATTGGTCAAAAGATGGCAGTATTTCCCAGGTACAACCACTAAGTGGCAAAATGGGTTAAAATGTAGTCAGGTCTGGTCAGCTCTAGTAATGTACAAGTCTGTTTCAATCAGCTCAGGATTTGATTAGCTCAAGATTAAAGCTATAACCCACTTGAGGAACCTTAAGATAATGTTACATGCAAATGCTAAATATTTAATGAGACAAAAGTACTGAAAAGTGTTTTCAAATTCTATCTTCAAAAATGGGAATATGAATGTTTAATCCTGTTCTTTCTCATCTTCCCTAAACCTCAATGATAAATAAGTGAAGAACTGAACACGTGTGCAACATCTGGGTATCTTTATTTGTAGATGTTTCACCATCCAGTGGCTTTACCAGTACAAATACAAGGACATAATGTGAAGACTGTAGAACTATATACAAAAGATGATTACCTCATCTTTTGTATATAGTTCTACAGTTTTCATGTTATGTCCTTGTATTGATAAAGCCACTGAATGGTGAAAAGTCCACAAAAACAAGAAACCCAGATGTTGCACACGTGTCTAATTCTACATCTTGTAAGTATTGTATACCATTCAGATACATAAGTGGCAGAAATCCTCCTAGTGTCTTCTTGTGTTGGCACTCTAGAACAAATATGTATTTTCGTTCAATTTATAATTGTAATACAGTGGAACCTCGGTACTCGAACTTGATTTGTTCCAGAAGGCTGTTCGAGTGCCGATCTGTTCGAGTACCAAATGAATGTTTCCCAAGTAATTTTCTTTTTTGTTAGCTGTTATCACTAATCTTCTTAGGCCCCATGGTGACTTCACAAATAATATAAAAAACACCAAAAAATGTGAAGAAACACGAAATAGTTTACAGCGTAGATCTGGCAGGTCATGTTTGTTTGGTTGAGTGCCAAGCAAACGGTCAGCTACGAAGTGATTTTTTTTTTACCGAACAAAGCGTTTGAATACCAAATTGTTCGAGTAGGGAGCTGTTCAAGTACCGAGGTTCCACTGTACTTTCATTTAATATCTGGCCCATACTCAGTATTACTCAAGTTTGTTCTTAACATCCTTCTGACCTCTCTATATTACAGTCCATCCTCAGACTCATAAATTTAGTTTTTGATTTACACATTATAAGAATCTTAGTAATTTCAGCATACTGTATATTTATATACAGTGGACCCCCGCATAACGATCACCTCCGAATGCGACCAATTATGTAAGTGTATTTATGTAAGTGCGTTTGTACGTGTATGTTTGGGGGTCTGAAATGGACTAATCTACTTCACAATATTCCTTATGGGAACAAATTCAGTCAGTACTGGCACCTGAACATACTTCTGGATTGAAAAAATATCGTTAACCGGGGGTCCACTGTACGTATATAAGAGTTCATAAATAAAAAAAACATATGGGCTATGATTATAGCATCATAAATGCAATTTTTCAACATACTGCCTGTTGTTTCATTGGCTGTACATGCCAAAAATGCTTATCATGAATGAAAGATAATCTAAGATAAGCATATCTAAATAACAGTTAACCCTTAAACAGTCCAAACAGATCGACGTTCAAATTTGTAGTGCTCCAAAAGTAGATCTACTTTTTTTTACATATTTTCAAATATAACAAAAAAAATGTAGATAAAAGTTTTTTACATGCTTTCAAATGTAAAACAAAAAAGATCTACATTTTTTTACATACTTTCAGATGTTGAAAAAACGTATATATACATTTGGACCGTTTAAGGGTTAAAGAGAAATTGTTAGAAAAAATTATGTAAAATGCTATTGGCTTTATTATAAGTACAGATGTTCCTTGGTTTTGTGGTAAAGTTAGTATGTTTCAGTTTGACTTATGCATAAGTTGAAATCCAACTTCTGTATAGAAGGTTGAGTACCATAACTAACATACTAATCTGAGGACAGGTTGCTTTCTTATTGTTATTATTGAAAAATAAAATAAATATCTACGACTTCATCTTGCTTTTTAAAAGCAGGTAAGGAAAAAGGTGAAGGCATGTACCTGCATATGACTGAAAAATATGTACTATACATGGGATAGATGCTTCAGGAAGCTGTGGGTTTACAAATTTTCTGCTCATAATTTAGTTACGAAAATCTGTCAGTGTTAAACTGACTGGAATTTCAAAACAAACTAAGAATTTCAGGGGAAATTATTGATCTCCATTTCTTTTTAATTTACAGTGGAGCCCCGAATATCGACTGCAATCCCTTCCAGAAGGTTGGCCTAAATTCGAAAAGGTCTAAATTCAAAGCAATATTTCCCATAAGAATTACTGTAAATACAATTAATCCATTCCAGATACCCAAAAATATTAACAAAAAATACATTTTTTAAAGATTAATTATAGTTTTACATACACAAAATAATGAGAACTAAATAAAATAAATAAATGAACATTTAAATCACTATTACATACCTTTATTGAAGACTCTTGTTGGCTTATGGAAGACAGGGAGGAGGAGAGAGGGGGGGACTGATTATTGTTTGTAAGGGGAATCCCCCTCCATAAGGACTCTGCCTCCTTTCCACACTCCCTGTTTCCCTGCTACACTCCCTGCAGGCCTGCTACACTCCCTGCAGGCCTGCTACACTCTCTGCCTCCCTTCCACACTCCCTGTTTCCCTGCTACACTCCCTGCCTGCCTGCTACACTCTCTGCCTCCCTTCCACACTCCCTGTTTCCCTGCTACACTCCCTGCAGGCCTGCTACACTCCCTGCCTGCCTGCTACACTCTCTGCCTCCCTTCCACACTCCCTGTTTCCCTGCTACACTCCCTGCCTGCCTGCTACACTCCCTGCCTGCCTGCTACACTCTCTGCCTCCCTTTCACACTCCCTGTTTCCCTGCTACACTCCCTGCCTGCCTGCTACACTCTCTGCCTTCCTTCCACACTCCCTGTTTCCCTGCTACACTCCCTGCAGGCTGACGCATGTCATACAACCAATTTGCAAGGTACTGGCCAAAATATGGAGCAAAATTTCCTCCCAAAAACTGGCCTAAATACAATTTGTCTGATAAACGCAGCAGCCGATATTCGGGGTTCCACTGTAATTTTAAAATTCAGAAAAAAATTGTTTGCTCATTTAATAGACAAAACTACAAAATTTTATTTTACATTACAATCAGTCACATGATAAATAATGAATCCCAGAGTTCATATTGAGTTTCATATTGAAGGAGTTCAGGAATAAGCCAAAGATTTAATATTCTGGAGCCTTCAAGGGAGGTTCCTTGATGCTGGTGAGGGGCTCTTGATCTAGAGAATTGGATCAATGTTCCAATTTCCTGAATTAAGCCTGAATGCCTTCCGACCCCCCCCCCATCCCCCCACACAGGCACTCTATAATCCCTATGGGTTTAGTGCTCACCCATGATAAAAATAACAAAAATTAATATTTTGGAAATGACTGGAAGATCCTGACATATTCTGGAGTTTTAGCCTCCCACTTGGAAGGTCACATGTATTGAAACACTCTATTCTACCCAAAATGAATAGATGCCTAGTCTCACATAACAATTTTTTCAAATTATTCAACAACTTAATCTAACCTTTCTCCACAATCAAATAGCAATAAAGTAAAAAACTGAATATGTACAAGCAATAATGCCTTATACATGCCACTGACATGTACAAGGAATTGTGTAAAAGTCTTTATGCAATGGACGGAAGAATGGACGGGTGGACAAGGAGATTCCAGGTTGAACCCTATTCCCGTGGAAACGGGATATGTACGGTGAATCTAAACCTATGTCTCCTTTTTCCATCTTCCATTAATTTTTACTTCTGTTACTTTACAGCTATCATATCATTGTTGCTTAATTTTAAATACTGTTCATATGAACTGTATAATTATGATGTGCTGAAGCACATGTGACTCATGAATAAGTAGCAAAAATAAGAACTTCTAAGTGGCCAGTAAACAGTTTCAAACTCAAGGTAATGACTGATTAGCACAAATTAAGTTTACACTGACTTACTAATGCACAGATGAATGGTGTACTGTCAATCACAGTGGTTGGCAGCAGCAATTAGTACTGATGATAATAATGCCATTATTTCTTTTTCATTAAGATGGATGAGTTTGCATGAATTATAGAAAGTTCTGAATAATATAAACTGGACACTGATTTTAAAAAAAGATGATAATTTATTATTTCAATTCAGAAAACCTCTTAATTAAGAATATTATCACCCAATAATAAATCTCATATTTTTATAACATTCCCCTCCCTCTCCCAAACACAAAAGGTCCTAGTACAGGATATTGATTATCAACCTGAACATACAGTAGTAATGTATGCATTAAGCCTAGACTTCAAAAATGTCACCATCTCTCAGGAGGTCCAGCAGGGGTACGATACACTATCACTCAATTCATCTTTTGCGTGACAACTGAAGAAATTGCCAGCAGATTGGCAAGCAAACTAAATATCTGGTATCTAGATGATGGCACTTTGACATTAAAAAACTCCACCTGCTATCTGATCTTAAACTGGTGAAGTCAGAAAAGAGAGCGAGAGAGACATATATAGATATATATATTTTTTTTATTTTTTTTTTTTAACACGTCGGCTGTTTCTCACCAAGGCAGGGTGACCCAAAAAGAAAAACCCAAAAACAAATACTTTCATCACCATTCAACACTTTCATCATCACTCATATATAATCACTGTTTGTGCAGAGGCACCCACATATGACAGCTCAGTTGTCCCTCCAAACTGCCAATATCCCAAACCCCTCCTTTAGCCCTTTCAGGGTCTAGAGGCCAAATTTCAAAGTGTGCAACAGTGTCCAAGAATTTTCAAAAAATAATTTTGTTTTGTTTTTTCTTATGAAATGGTAGAGAACCTTTTTCTGAAGGTAATAAAACAAAAGGTACGAAATTTGATGGAAAATTGATGAAATTATGCTCTATCGAATTTTGACGTGTCAGCGATACTTACGCATCGGCGATTTTGCTGACTTTGACTCCCATTTTAGGCCAATTATCTTATTCCAGTCAATCAAATTCTTAGCTATTTCACTAGTATTACTTCTATTCTATCGAGTGACTGGAAATCGGTAATTTGGCCAATTTAGTGCAAAGTTCAAAATATTCCAATTTCAAAATAGGGTCAAGAATAAACAATGCAGACATTCCTGGCACTAAACTAACATATCCTCTGTTCATTAGTTACGTTTTCAGGCTTTACAAATGAATTTCATTTTGATTTTTAATTCACATCATGAATTTTTATTCAAACCAAAAAATAGAAGATTTACTGTCATGCAATATTGTAATAATTGTATATATATAATATCAGCACATTTGTGAATGTACATTAGACCCATCAGCTGGTGGGTATTAGACGTGTGAGGTCATTCGTTTACTTTTGAACATTGGCAAAAATTTAACATTTCTGCTACTTTGAGCTCAGTTTCAAGCCATTTTCAGTACTAAAACCAATCAAAATCATCTCTATTTCTGTAATATATCTTCCATTCTATTAATTGAGACCAAGAAATTGCAAATACAACTGTAAAAAACATACAAAAAAAACACTGCAAAATTGCTGTTTTAATCGAAAATTACGGTCTCAGTTTTCTCTCTCATTATGCACTGTGTGCTGCAGGATTTGTTTTATGTGGTGCACACATACCATATAGATGTATTCTCTCCTATCTAGGCCCAAATTTACCACTCACAACTTATCAGAGTGAGCTGAGCTCATGGCATAAATCTACGGTTTGGACCCTCAACGTAAAGCCGTAGATCTACGGCACAGACCCTGAAAGGGTTAAAGTGCAGGCACTGTACTTCCCATTTCCAGGACTCAAGTCTGGCTAACCAGTTTCCCTGAATCCCTTCACAAAATATTACCCTGCACTCCAGCAGCTCGTCAGGTCCCAAAAACCAATCGTCTCCATTCACTCCTATCTAAAGCTACCACGCACACTTGCTGGAAATCCAAGCCCCTCACCCACAAACCCTCCTTTACCACCTCCTTCCAAGCTTTTCTGGGCCAACAAAGATATAGAGATAGAGAGAGAGGGATACAGATAGAGAAATATAGAAAGAGATAGAGGTAGGTAGGTTTTTATACCATTCCAAATGTGAAATTATCTCACTGAGGCAGTAAACTATCACTGAAGTGAGATCCTGCCTACTAGAATCTTCAATCATCACCTCTCTCCTTACCGACAAGATCTTGCTTTGGGCGTCACTGGGTTCCAATGATGCCATTACCAATTTCACAGAACAAGAATGAAGGAAACTAGAGGTCCACAATAAACTGTGGACCTCCATCTTGCAGTACCTCCAGTGGACTGGAGGTACTGCAAGATGCATTGCAGTACCTCCAGTCTCATCTAAGCATTGATTCTAGTGAACTAGTCAGGAAGATGCTCCCACAGAACTTGAGAGAGAGAGAATTATGGAATTTTAAGCAAAGGAACCAACAAATTTTGGATCCATATCATCTAGATGAGAATCTCCTAAGACCACAGATATTGAATGCCACTGGGATAGTTCCATGTTATAACCCTTCGCCTCAATAAACATGAAGAATCTGATTACATTCTCATAGCAAAATTATACAAGATTTATTACTGAAGTCCACAACAAAGGTTTATAACCTGAGGAAATCAGTGCCAGTAAAAAAATATTGTAAAATGCCATTAATAAATTTTAGAATGACACACTTAGAAAGCTTCTATTACAATTAAATGAGGTATTTGCTCCTGATACAAAACTTAACTTATTATAACATCTTACAGTGCTGTATGACCCTTGTGGGTTGGTGCTTAGTTTTGCTTATAATAATAATAATAATAACATCTACTGATTATCAGAGATGTATTTTAATAAAAAAAAATGACACAGAGCAGCTTTAAAAAATTATCAAAAAATGTATCCAATATACTTAATTATTTAACTGATGAAAATAAGGATATAAATAACACTGGCCAACAATGGTTTCAGTTAACATTTAAAAAATTTTCAAACTAATTTTAGGATGGTGAATTCAAATCTGAACTTAGTTTTGCTCTAATATTTACAGTTTCTCTGAAATAGATCCCCACAGTGAATGATTTCACTAAGATAAAGCCATCATCCTAGGTAGTAGGTTGGTAGACAGCAACCGCCCAGGGAGGTACTACCGTCCTGCCAAGTGAGTGTAAAACAAAAGCCTGTAATTGTTTTACATGATGGTAGGATTGCTGGTGTCTTTTTTCTGTCTCATAAACATGCAAGATTTCAAGTATGTCTTGCTACTTCTACTTACACTTAGGTCACACTACACATACATGTACAAGCATATATATACACACACACCTCTGGGTTTTCTTCTATTTTCTTTCTAGTTCTTGTTTATTTCCTCTTATCTCCATGGGGAAGTGGAACAGAATTCTTCCTCCATAAGCCATGTGTGTTGTAAGAGGAGACTAAAATGCCGGGAGCAAGGGGCTAGTAACCTCTTCTCCTGTATATATATTACTAAATGTAAAAGGGGAAACTTTCGTTTTTCCTTTTGGGCCACCCCGCCTCGGTGGGATACAGCCGGTGTGTTGAAAGAAGAAGAAGAAAGCCATCATGGAAAAGATATATTAGGAAAAACTCAACAATCAGCTTGATGGTTCACTTGTGCTGTGGTAGAAACTGATGTGGGAGAGCCATACTCAACACAAGTGAAAAAGCCTGATGGAAATACATTTACATGATTGTGTGGAAATTTATCAGTTTGCAAATATAATGCACCACACTTAATATCAATGAGCATGCATAATTTATTTCCTATGTCATCACCGCTCTAACACCCCTACTTTATCTTCCCTCTTCGCTGATGGCGCCGCCTTCAACACAGATTCCCTCTTTGATTGTTTTGACAAAAACTGATTTATTACACAAACTTTGATGGTACTTCCTTTAGCATTTCTCACAGCTATCTCTACCTCTACCTCTGTTATCCTCTCCACCCTCACTAGTCTCTAATCAAGCAAGTCATACCCTGCCCAGCAGCACTGCATGACCCTTGTGGGTTTAGTGCTTGGTTTTGATTATAATAACAATATGAATGATATAATACCTATGATTGTAAGACAACATATATCATGTAGTTCTTCAACCTTAAATAACCAAAATATTCATAAAATTTAAAAACTTATATTACAGACTAAGGCTCAGATTCATATCAACACATCAAAATTAGCTTAAAACAACCAATTTGGTTTCTGAACTGGATAAAAAAAATTCAATTTGTTGGCTAGTGTATTAGTATGACAAATCATTAAAAGAAGAATACAGCTGAAGAGTTAGTAAGGGGATGGCTACTTTGTCTTTGCAAAGAGTATGACACTGTATGATAGCTTGCGAGTGTTCCTTTTAGGAGGGTGCCTTGATGCTGGTAATGTTCTCTTGATCCATGATGTTGGAGCTGCCCTCCCTTTCCTCAGATGAAATCTGATAACATCTCATTCCCCAAGCGCTGTTTAACACTTACTGATTTAGCACTTCATGATTATAATAATAATTATCAAGAAATATGGAAGTTGAATGTAAGGTAGGAGAAAATGAGCCATCATCATGTATGCTTATGCTTTTGTAAATAGAATAAACATGGAAAAAAAGAAATGAAAAAATTTGGGATTCACTGAGTTTCGGTTAATGGTTACAGGTCAGCGCTGTATGACCCTTGTGAGTTTAGCCCTTAGTTATGATTATAATAATAATAATGGTTACAGAGGTCATTACCACTGCAGCTTGGTCTCAGACCAGGCCTGCTTAACTGGGAAGGCTATATTATAGCAAGAGGAGTGTGTGTGTCTTCTATCTCATGATCATTGAACAGGAGCAATCTTACAAACTTCTACTTATTTATTGTACACTAATCTTTATTTTCTGGTCTGTTTTGTAATACACAACACACAGGAAAATAAAGATTATTTTTTTTTTTTCAACAAGTCGGTCGTCTCCCACCGAGGCAGGGTGACCCAAAAAAGAAAGAAAATCCCCAAAAAGAAAATACTTTCATCATCATTCAACACTTTCACCACACTCACACATTATCACTGTTTTTGCAGAGGTGCTCAGAATACAACAGTTTAGAAGCATACACATATAAAGATACACAACATATCCCTCCAAACTGCCAATTAGTGTACACTAAACAAGTAGAATTTTGTAACATTGCTCCTCTTAAATGTTCATGAGGTGGAAGACACACAATCCTCCCAGAATGCCAAATGCTTAACAGGTATTTGGTTTCACATTCATGACAAAACAGCAGTACCTTCCTGGATGGTGACTTACCAACCTTGTATAGTATAATAAGTGTTTGATCTTTGAAGGGCAATGTATTGGAAATATTAAAGGAGAGAGGGGGAAATTAAAAGGTGGTGTATAATTCATGAGACCAGTGTTAGATATCAACAGGGATTTTTCTTAAAGAATTTTGTTTAAGGGTTTGTGCTATGTCAACATGCTCTTCAATTATGGCCATGGGAAAGGAAAGAGGATATTAAAGAATTAAGATTATATAAAAGAAAGAGCTACCACTTGCACAACACTAAACCACCCACATAAAACCTCCACCACAATTCCCACTGTCTTAACATGCATCATTCTAATTTATATTTTCTATATGCACTACAATATTATACAGTGATATATAGCAGTACTGTAGAAATCTTTTGTGTAGGGTAGAGTTTAACGCAGTATATATATGGGGTCAACACTACTCCATTTATGGCATCCTTTTATTTTCAAGTTTAGGCCTGAATACTTTTTTTTGCCAAAAACCAGTGACCCTTTTTAAAAGGCCCTCAAAAATTAGAGTACATTTGCAAATGTGATACATGAAAAATTAAAAAAACTTGGAAAATGTCAGTAGTCAACCTATGCACATAACCTATGAAAAGTGAAGAATAACTGGATTAAGCAGAAGAATGCAATTTATAGGGTCAGTATGGTATTATGCAGATATGGAACAAAGGGGAGAAATACTGCAGGGAAAATCAGTTAGATCCTAAAGTAAAAGTTAATAAACGAGAAACGTGCTATGTTAAAAAAAAGACTGCAGGACAGTATGCTCCTTTCAGATGTGACTTGTTAGAGTGAAATAGAAATAGAATGAGACATGTCTTTAATTCTGATTACTGAAATAAGATTTCTAAGAAAGTCACAAGGGAGATAAGCAACCAGCCATGGCTAGTTGCTTATCTGTCCTGCAGTCTTTTTTTTTAAACATAGCACGTTTCTCGTTTATTTACTCTTACTTTAGGATCTAACTGGTTTTCCCTGCAGTATTTCTGTATTATTCTGTAAAAACTTGAATTTGTGGTGTACAGAAATACACCCAGTTTGATGAATCTTATTCGACTGGCATGGTGCAGTGGATAACATACTGGCCTGCTAGATTTAGGAGTGGCTTAGTCCTGGGTCCAAACCTTTCGTTGTGCGAGTAATAAAGATGCAAAGAAGAGCCAAGATTATTCAGATGGCTAAAAAATACTCAACATGAAATAAATAAATGGACAAGACATGCTGTATCTGACAATGACTGCACGAGGCAAATTACAGCTGTGACAAGTGCAAGTAGGATATACAGGTGTGAGGTACAAGGGCATACAGCAATAAGTAGACAACCAACAACATGAAAAGGTAAGTAGAGGACTCATCAAATGGAGGGTTCAAACCCATGGTCAGTGTTCTATCCACTGGACAATGCCATGAGTCTGAACCCTCTGTACGATGAGTCGTTAACAACTGCATCATTACGATTTCAAGAGTTGCTAATTAAAGTAGCATGTACATGAAGTGTTCCATGAGAGTGAAATAGAATAGAATAGATGAGAATAATATACAGGAAGGCTTGTATTGAAGACTCTCCATCAAGGCCATCCCCTCAGAGGAGAGATCCTGGGTAGAACAGAGAATCAGATACAGCACAGAGAAAATTAAAAGTAAATTATATCAAATTTATTTTCACGAAAGCAAGACCTAAATAACTAATCAAATGATATTAAAAAAATTTGTAAATATAGTACATAATACTGCTGAGTGGTACAATATATACACTTCAACACAAAATTATTCAATCTAGCAAATGCTTAATATTTAACAAAACTTAAAATCACTAATTACATGAATTAAACAACAGAGAGCCACACTGCATCAATTACTTCAACTCCTTAAAATTGAGAGTACATTTAAAGCCAATACATACATACATATAAAAATTCAGCTATGCTGCAAATCTTGATTTTGCAAAAATAAAATATTTTTGCTATCAAAAATTATAAACATAAATGAGAATATGTACAACTTTAATAATAATAAGGCCTTCTCAAAAATTGTGATGGTAACTCAAATTGCAGTTGAACACAATTGTGAAAAAAATTATAAAATGTTACCTACCAATTCAAGACAACTATACCCAGTCCCTAAGTAATAATGGATCATAATCTTTTCACATGTGCTACAAGAAAACTGCAAACTAATATGTATCCACATTCATGGAAAAATATAATTAAAAACCACCACATGTACAAAGAACAAATGTCCTAGTCCAAAATGCTGAGTAAACCATGACAAACTTTCAATGTAAAAGTTACTTCCTTTTACTCATGCTCTGGTTCTGGTTCAGGCTCTGGTTCTGGTTCAGGCTCTGGTTCTGGTTCAGGCTCTGGTTCTGGTTCAGGCTCTGGTTCTGGTTCAGGCTCTGGTTCTGGTTCAGGCTCTGGTTCTGGTTCAGGCTCTGGCTCTGGTTCTGGTTCAGTCTCACTGCTGCTGCTGCTGCTGCTACTGCTGCTAGACTTGGTCTCTGGCTTGGCTATTGGTGCAGGGTCTGACCCAGCCTCACTGCAGCTGTTACTATGAGACTTGTGTACTGGCTTGGCTTCTGGCTGGTGACTCTCGTGCTCATGCTCAAAGTCTGAGTGAGAATGATGGTCTTGGTGGTGAATGATGAATGGTGCTTTATCCACTGAAATTTGATTGCCAATATAAGGTACCAAAATATGTTAATAAATTTGTGTCTGCATATACAAATTTAGAGAGAGATTAATAACTTGAGAAATCCTGGGAAGCAAGTGAATTTGGCCTTTACAAAGGAGAGAACAGAAATGTTCAATGGGGAGGTAGGGGTATTAGAAAGAAGAGAATATTTGGAAGTAATTGTCAAATGTTATAGGTAGTAGGTTGGTAGACAGCAACCGCCCAGGGAGGTACTACCGTCCTGCCAAGTGAGTGTAAAACGAAAGCCTGTAATTGTTTTACATGATGGTAGGATTGCTGGTGTCCTTTTTTCTGTCTCATGAACATGCAAGATTTCAGGTACGTCTTGCTACTTCTACTTACACTTAGGTCACACTACACATACATGTACAAGCACATATATACACACCCCTCTGGGTTTTCTTCTATTTTCTTTCTAGTTCTTATTCTTGTTTATTTTCTCTTATCTCCATGGGGAAGTGGAACAGAATTCTTCCTCCGTAAGCCATGCGTGTTGTAAGAGGCGACTAAAATGCCGGGAGCAAGGGGCTAGTAACCTCTTCTCCTGTATATATTACTAAATGTAAAAGGAGAAACTTTCGTTTTTCCTTTTGGGCCACCCTGCCTCGGTGGGATACGGCCGGTGTGTTGAAAGAAAGAATTGTCAAATGTTGATGAGAGATGGATGGTGATTCCAAGCATCGGGTAGGGAGGGGTAAGATATGTTAGGAGTAAAGAGCCCGAGAAGAGTATGGAGAAGTGTGTAAGGTAATGGGTAGAATGAAAGGGGATAAAGCAACTGGGAGAGATGGGATTAAAACTGATGTGCTAAGAGCAAGTGGGAACAGTTTAGGAGTGGCTGGTGAAACTGTTCAATATGTGTATGTAAAACAATAACTGAAAAAGTCAAGGATAAGACAAAATAGGATTACAGAGGAACAAGAAGTTTGAAAATGCAGGGAAAGGATAGACCAAATGTTGACATCAAAGAAAATAAGTTTTTATTTAGGCTTTGGGTATATAATGTACAAATATCTTAAAATAGTCTTGAGAGAAAACACTTTATCGGCACATTACAAATATATTATTTCAATTTAAACTTTATTGATTTAACCATTCATTAATTTAGAAAAAGTATATGATAGGAAGGACGGAGAAATTATGTGGCAAATGTATGGGAGAGGTAGTAGGTTACTAAAAGCAATTAAGCTTTTATACACAGAGCAAGGCTCAGGACAGGGTATGCAGGAAAAAAGGGAACTATTTTCCAGTCAATGTATTCCTTAGACAGGAATGTATGATGTCACCATGGTTGTTTAATATACTTATAAATGAGATTGTAAAAGAAGTGAACAATACACAAATAGCCCACACATACCACATGAATAGCCCACACATACCACATGAATAGCCCACACATACCACACAAATAATACCCCCCACATACCACATGAATAGCCCACATATACCACACAAATAAAAGCCCACACATACCACACGAATAGCTCACACATACCACACAAATAATAGCCCACACATACCACACGAATAGCCCACACATACCACACAAATAACAGCCCACACATACCATTAACTAGTCACACAATGTGTGTGACTAGTGAATGGTCCAAGTTGGACTAAAACACCGCTATAAGTTTCTTTCTCCTTTGTGTGGATTATTTGTGTACTGTTCCAGTCACTGTATTGTGGCTTTTGTTCTTTAAAAGAAGTGAATACTAAGGCTGGAAAAAGAAGAGTATGTGAAAAATAGAGATATAAAGGGAACACAGAAATAAGCAAGATGAAAAGAGTAACAAAAATCTTAAGTAGTGAAGATTGGATATGGAGGGAATACAAGGGAAATGAATATGTTTAGGTATCTGGTTGTGACTCTAATGGCAGATAGGCCTATGAAAGACAGAGTGAACCATAGAAGAGATGAGAAAAAATGATGGTTGGAATGCTAAGGCGTCTGTGGAAAGAAAATTTATATATGGAAGTAAAAAAAAATTAATGTGTCAAAATATAATTCAGAGGGGTCAGGAGGGATTGTTAAGGTGGTTTGGGCACAGAATAGGATGACTGTGAGGGTATATAAATCCAAGATGGAGGGAAGGAAGAGTAGGGGTTGTCCCCAGAAGAATTGGAGGGAAGGGGTAAGGGAGGTTTTGAGCACTATGGGCTTGAACATCCAACAGGCTTGTGTAAGTACATCAGATCAGAGTGGAGGCAAGTGGTTTTTATAACTTAACAAACTGTTGGAGTGTGAGTAAGGTAACATTCATGAAGGAATTCAGGGAAGCCAGACTTGAGTCCTAGAGGCAGGAAATACAATGCCTGCATTCTAAAGGAGAGGTGAGGGTGTTGCAATTCAGAGGGACATCTGAACTAGACTGTCAGCATGCTTCTGGCAAGACAGGGATTGAAGGAATGATTTTCCTCTCTCTTTGGGTCATTCTACCTTGGTAAAAGATGGCCACTGTGTTAAAAAAAATTTGTGATACCAATACTTATATGGATGTATGAGGAAGGGTCTAAAATTTGCAGCAAAGAGGAGGATGGAAGCTGTGAAGATGCCAAGTACAATTCAGAGGCTAGAGAACAGGATATAATCACACACAGATACATGTCTCTTAGTGTACATACACAAAGTTTATTTTAATTCATATTTCATGACTAGTGGTGAACAGGTGACATGAAGCCTTAATGAACTTTTGAGTAGTCAATAACCTTTAAACCAGTTAACCAACCAGATGGCAGAAGACAGGTGGAGCAGTTGAAGTGGCATGGCATTTTAGAAAGGATGTAGCAGAATAGGTTAAGTAAGTAGATGGGTGTATAAATCCAGAGTAAAAGGAAAGAAGGAAGGGTAAATGTTTAAAGTACTTTAGTAGGGGCTTGAGCATCTAGCAGCTATTTCAAGTGTTTTAGATTAGGGAGGAGGTTGGCTGCTTTTAGGATTGGACATGCTGTTGGAGTGTCAGCAAGGTAACATTTATGAAGGAAAGCTGGTAGCAAGACTTTATTTCAAGAAGGGGGAACTACAGTGCCTGCACTCTGAAGGATGGGTGAGGATGTTGCAGTTCTGGAGGTGGGAACAACAGTGCCTACACTCTAAAGGATGGGTGGGGATGTTGCAGTTCTGGAGGTCGGAACTACAGTGCCCACACTCTGAAGGATGGATTGGGATGTTGCAGTTCTGGAGGTGGGAACTACAGTGCCCACACCCTGAAGGATGGATGGGGATGTTGCAATTCTGGAAGTGGGAACTACAGTGTCCACACTCTGAAGGATAGGTGGGGATGTTGCAATTCAGAACATCATTTGAATTGTGGTGTCTGTGCACTTCTGGCAAGACCCTTATTAAATGAACAGACAGCTAATTATTTCCTTTTCTAGGTCACCCTACATTGTGGGAGACAGCCAGTGTGGTAAAAATAAAATATTATAGAGTATAGAAGATTACCGAGATTATAAACTATTACATATCCTTATTTAAAACAAATAAATGAGCAAATTACCATGCGTGCTGTTTTAAGACAATCTATTTGATGAATTTATATCATAGTACATGTGATGGTAGTGTGGTATTAACATAAAAATGTAGTCTAAAATACATTAAACAAAAATTACTGCCAAAACTGAGAAATAAGTTATGAACAATTAAAACACTAATGTACTTATTGCCTGACAGAAGGCAAAAATGCAATAACCACAAACAAACCACAGAACAGGTGGCTTTTGAACACATAGTAAGCGAGTCCTAAAATTCACAGGCCAGTGGGTTAGGATTCACCTGCCATGTGTTTAAACCCCACCCAATCTGTGGTTTATTTGCAAGTGTTATCATGATTTTGTGAGTCATGATAACCACATACAAGTTTGTAAACAATTAACACCAGATAATGGACACTTCTTAGTACATATAATCAATAGAGTAAAAAAAAAATTTTTGTAAACTGAGAAAAAACAAACAAAAAAACTTTACTAGAAAATATTTCTTAACCATCTTCCATCAGGGTCAGGTGACCCAAAAAAGAGGAAACTCATTCATTGTCATTCATTCAACAGCTGTCTTTCCAAAAGTGTTGACATCACAACCCAGATGAACCTCTGAACTGCAACATCTCCGTCCCTCCTTTAGATGACAGTCACTGTATGTCCCACCTCTCAGGACTCAAATAATAATAAGCTACCTTTTCCATTTCCTTGTTCTTATTAACATACCTCCAGAACAATGTTCACTGCTTGAGCTGCTGCTTGTACTACTCAGTCGCACATTAGCTGTTGCAACTACATCAACAACTGCTGCCGTGACATCACCACCTGTAACACCAAAAATTTTTAAAACTTAAGTTATATCTTAGCCGTAATGCAGTAAACCCCTCAATTTACACACTCAATAAGGGGAAGCAAGTGGCTGGTAATAGTGAGTGTGTGGATGGGCTGTGATGGGTATGTGGGTCAGTGGGCCACTAGCAGCAACAACCTGGTTGACCAGGCAAGCACCAGATGAGCCTGGACCAAGGCCAGGCTCCGGGAATAGAAAACCTCTTGGAACTCATCAAAGGTAAGGGAGGAGGATGGAGATGAGACTGCCTTGATATGATCATAACAATGGGCAATTCTGTAACCAACAGACTTTTGTTTCCAAATAAAGTGACTTCGCGAATTCTGTCTAGTATTTCAAAAGTTCATTCAATCAAGGTCCATTAAATAGTGGGTTTACTTTACAGTATTTAAAATTTTCTTAACTACTAGATATTGCTGTAAACCCAATGAAAGCACATTAAGTTATATCTTTATTCACCTTCATTCTTTCACAGTGGGATTGCAACTTCTTCTTTCAACACATCGGCCGTATCCCACCGGGGTGGGGTGGCCCAAAAGGAAAAACGAAAGTTTCTCCTTTTACATTTAGTAATATATACAGTAGAAGAGGTTACTAGCCCCTTGCTCCCGGCATTTTAGTCACCTCTTACAACACGCATGGCTTACGGAGGAAGAATTCTGTTTCACTTCCCCATGGAGATAAGAGGAAATAAACAAGAATAAGAACTAGTAAGAAAAATGGAAGAAAACCCAGAGGGGTGTGTATATACATATATGCTTGTACATGTATGTGTAGTCTGACTTAAGTGTAAGTAGAAGTAGCAAGACATACCTGAAACCTTGCATGTTTATGAGACAGAAAAATGGACACCAGCAATCCTACCATCATGTAAAACAATTACAGGTTTCCGTTTTACACTCACTTGGCAGGACGGTAGTACCTCCCTGGGCGGTTGCTGTCTACCAACCTACTACCTAGGTGGGATTGCGACTGTTTCTACTTAATGCAGATGCACCATGGGCAATCATTCATTTTAAAGTGGGCTAGACATTGCTGGGTGCCACATGGCTAATAGCTAGGGATTTCACTTCACCATGTGCCACATGGGTAGTGGCTTGGAATCTCACATCACTAGGTGCCACATGGCTAATGCCTGGGGATCTTACATCACTGGCTGCCACATGTATTGCACCCCATAATTGGGGCACAATGTTTATAAACAATATATATATATATATTCGGGCGAGATATAAGCGACTATTGGCAGAAAGGTGGGCTAGTGCAAAGATGAGTAGTGAGGGGGTTGAAGAGGGTTGGAATAGTTTTAAAATGCAGTATTAGAATGTGGGGCAGAAGTTTGTGGTTATAGGAGGGTGGGGGCAGGAGGAAAGAGGAGTGATTGGTGGAATGATGAAGTAAAGAGTGTGATAAAAGAGAAAAAGGTAGCTTACAAGAGGTTTTTACAAAGCAGAAGTGTTTAAAGAAGAGCAGAGTATATGGAGAGTAAAAGAAAGGTGAAGAGAGTGGTGAGAGAGTGCAAAAGGAGAGCAGATGAAAGAGTGGGAGAGGCACTGTCAAGAAATTTTAATGAAAATAAGAAAAAATTTTGGAGTGAGTTAAACAAGTTAAGAAAGCCTAGGGAAAGTATGGATTTGTCCATTAAAAACAGAGTAGGGGAGTTAGTAGATGGGGAGAGGGAGGTATTAGGTAGATGGCGAGAATATTTTGAGGAACTTTTAAATGTTGAGGAAGAAAGGGAGGCGGTAATTTCATGCACTGGCCAGGGAGGTATACCATCTTTTAGGAGTGAAGAAGAGCAGAATGTAAGTGTGGTGGAGGTACGTGAGGCATTACGTAGAATGAAAGGGGGTAAAGCAGCTGGAACTGATGGGATCATGACAGAAATGTTAAAAGCAGGGGGGGATATAGTGTTGGAGTGGTTGGTACTTTTGTTTAATAAATGTATGAAAGAGGGGAAGGTACCTAGGGATTGGCGGAGAGAACGTATAGTCCCTTTATATAAAGGGAAAGGGGACAAAAGAGATTGTAAAAATTATAGAGGAATAAGTTTACTGAGTATACCAGGAAAAGTATACGGTAGAGTTATAATTGAAAGAATTAGAGGTAAGACAGAATGTAGAATTGCGGATGAGCAAGGAGGCTTCAGAGTGGGTAGGGGATGTGTAGATCAAGTGTTTACATTGAAGCATATATGTGAACAGTATTTAGATAAAGGTAGGGAAGTTTTTATTGCATTTATGGATTTAGAAAAGGCATATGATAGAGTGGATAGAGGAGCAATATGGCAGATGTTGCAAGTTTATGGAATAGGTGGTAAGTTACTAAATGCTGTAAAGAGCTTTTATGTGGATAGTGAGGCTCAGGTTAGGGTGTGTAGAAGAGAGGGAGAATACTTCCCGGTAAAAGTAGGTCTTAGACAGGGATGTGTAATGTCACCATGGTTGTTTAATATATTTATAGATGGGGTTGTAAAAGAAGTAAATGCTAGGGTGTTCGGGAGAGGGGTGGGATTAAATTATGGGGAATCAAATTCAAAATGGGAATTGACACAGTTACTTTTTGCTGATGATACTGTGCTTATGGGAGATTCTAAAGAAAAATTGCAAAAGTTAGTGGATGAGTTTGAGAATGTGTGTAAAGGTAGAAAGTTGAAAGTGAACATAGAAAAGAGTAAGGTGATGAGGGTATTAAATGATTTAGATAAAGACAAATTGGATATCAAATTGGGGAGGAGGAGTATGGAAGAAGTGAATGTTTTCAGATACTTGGGAGTTGACGTGTCGGCGGATGGATTTATGAAGGATGAGGTTAATCATAGAATGGATGAGGGTAAAAACGTGAGTGGTGCGTTGAGGTATATGTGGAGTCAAAAAACGTTATCTATGGAGGCAAAGAAGGGAATGTATGAAAGTATAGTAGTACCAACACTCTTATATGGATGTGAAGCTTGGGTGGTAAATGCAGCAGCAAGGAGACGGTTGGAGGCAGTGGAGATGTCCTGTCTAAGGGCAATGTGTGGTGTAAATATTATGCAGAAAATTCGGAGTGTGGAAATTAGGAGAAGGTGTGGAGTTAATAAAAGCATTAGTCAGAGGGCAGAAGAGGGGTTGTTGAGGTGGTTTGGTCATTTAGAGAGAATGGATCAAAGTAGAATGACATGGAAAGCATATAAATCTATAGGGGAAGGAAAGAGGGGTAGGGGTCGTCCTTGAAAGGGTTGGAAAGAGGGGGTAAAGGAGGTTTTTGTGGGCGAGGGTTTGGACTTCCAGCAAGCGTGCATGAGCGTGTTAGATAGGAGTGAATGGAGACGAATGATACTTGGGACCTGACGATCTGTTGGAGTGTGAGCAGGGTAATATTTAGTGAAGGGATTCAGGGAAACCGATTATTTTCATATAGTAGGACTTGAGTCCTGGAAATGGGAAGTACAATGCCTGCACTTTAAAGGAGGGGTTTGGGATATTGGCAGTTTGGAGGGATATGTTGTGTATCTCTATACGTATATATATATATATATTATATATATAATATATATACACACACACACACACACACAGTGGACCCCCGGTTAACGATATTTCTTCACTCCAGAAGTATGTTTAGGTGCCAGTACTGACCGAATTTGTTCCCATAAGAAACATTGTGAAGTAGATTAGTCCATTTCAGACCCCCAAACATACACGTACAAACGCACTTACATAAATACACTTACATAATTGGTCACATTCGGAGGTAATCGTTATGCGGGGATCCACTGTATATATATGGAGTGTGAGCAGGGTAATATTTAGTGAAAGGATTCAGGGAAACCGGTTATTTTCATATAGTCGGACTTGAGTCCTGGAAATGGGAAGTACAATGCCTGCACTTTAAAGGAGGGGTTTGGGATATTGGCAGTTTGGAGGGATATGTTGAGTATCTTTATATGTGTATGCTTCTAAACTGTTGTATTCTGAGAGCTCTGCAAAAACAGTGATAATGTGCGAGTGTGGTGAAAGTGTTGAATGATGATGAAAGTATTTTCTTTTTGGGGATTTTCTTTCTTTTTTTGGGTCACCCTGCCTTGGTGGGAGACGGACGACTTGTTGAAAAAATATATATAATAATATATTATATATAATATATATATATATATATATATATATACATATATACGTATATATATATATATATTTTTTTTTTTAACAAGTCGGCCGTCTCCCACTGAGGCAGGGTGACCCAAAAAAGAAAGAAAACAATTTTCTTCTTATTCTTTTTAGTAATCTTTACAGGAAAAGGGGTTACTAGCCATTGTTCCCGGCATTTTAGTTGACTTTTACAACACGCATGGCTTACGGAGGAAAGATTATTATTCCACTTCCCCATGGATATAAAAGGAAAAGTAATAAGGACCAAGAACTATTAAGATAAAATCAAAGAAAACTCAGATGAGTGTGTATAAATAAATGTGTACATGTATGTGTAGTGTGACCTAAGTGTAAGTAGAAGTAGCAAGACATGCCTGTAATCTTGCATATTTATGAGACAGACAAAAGACATCAGCAATTCCTACCATCATGTAAAAACAATTACAGGCTTATCTTTTTACACTCACTTTGGCAGGACGAGTTGTAAAACGAAAGCCTGTGATTGTTTTTACACGACGGTAGGATTGTGGTGTCCTTTTTTCTGTTCATGAACATGCAAGATTTCAGGTACGTCTTGCTACTTCTACTTACACTTAGGTCACACTACACATACATGTACAGCACATATATACACACCCCTCTGGGTTTTCTTCTATTTTCTTTCAGTTCTTATTCTTGTTTATTTCCTCTTATCTCCATGGGAAGTGGAAACAGAATCTTCCTCCGTAAAGCCATGCGTGTTGTAAGAGGCAACTAAAAATGCCGGGAGCAAGGGGCTTAGTAACCTCTTCTCCTGTATATTATTTAAATGTAAAAGGAGAAACTTTCGTTTTCTTCTTTTGGGC